GACCTCTGACCTCAAGTGGGGTCCATAAACAGTGTTGGAACTGCATAAATTGGGAATGACTGGAAAGCTGAGACACATACTTCATGCCACCCTGCATAGTCAGTGCCCCACTTGTGCCACGGTAGTCATTAAAGTCTGGAAACACCCCTGTGTTTTAATGGTTTTGTGTCTGTGTTTTTGCCCAGGTGTATATAGCTTAGTATGGCAAAGACAAGCACTCAGGTGTTTGTAGCCAACAATGCTATATGCATCTGGAGTGTAAATAGGTAATGTGGTTATTTGCACCTGCATCCTGCATGGCCATGATCTTTAACTAAGAACTTACTAGTTTTGCTGCCAAAACCTAACCTACAACTAAAAACTGAAAAGAAATTAAAATAATATGTCAGCTAAGTCTAAAATTTAAAGTCAACATTAACCCATTCATCCACCTCTACCTCCTTCCTACAGAGACTGTGTCGCTATTTATAGCTAAACCAGGGGACAGGTATAAATAGTCCACCACTACCACAACTACCACACTCCATATATAGTCTACATTCAGAGTACAGGACCGATATTAATAGCTGTGATGTTTCAAACTTTGTAGGGTTTCTTGACATCTCCAGGTCTGGTGTTGATATACACGTTTGTATCGTCGTCATCCCTCTTCAGCTTCCTCTGAGGAACACAATGCCAGTCAGTGAGAGAGATGTGTTTTACTTACAGTGACAGGTAATGTGTGCAGTACAGGAGAGTGAGTCAATCCATTATTTCATTCTTACCCATAAAACAATGGTAATGCAGGTGAACAACAGGCTGTAGACCAATAGAACGCCACATCCCGCCCACATCACCACGTCAGGGATGAATGGGGTCTTGACTGGACAGCTCTGATTGGCTGCTGCAACAGTTTCATTCATTTCTGGCTTGTCTATGAATTAACCCAAACAGAATTTATAGATAATATTTTAATATATTACACACAGTATATATCAATATAATATAACAGTAATATTTTATGTGAGTTTTAGGCCATGCATATACCTGCCACTTTGAGTACAGTGGTGTGACATGTCTCACTGTGTGGTGGAGGATAAACCAGCTCCACCTTGCACTGGTACAATCCACTGTTGTTCGCTGTGACTTCAAAGTGACCAAAGAAATTCTCTGGATAGTTCAGAGCCTACCAACAGAAAAAAAATTGGAATCTCACCTGCCGTGCTGTGGTTACTGAAAAGTCACTGAAGTACTTTTAAGGAAATGTATTCTTAATAGACTGTCTTAATTGTTTTTATTAGAATTGTACTCTTTATAAATAAAATTTTTCTATTCTTTCTAACACTCATGTCATCAGAAGCATAATGAATTGAAATTGAGAAAGGCAAAGAAGCAAACAAAAGTATAGAGAATGTTATGCAGTTATAAGAACATTTTACAAAAGACACATACCAATTACAATTTTGACTAAAATGTTTGACAGTGTAATTCAACCAATCACCTTTTATGTAAGTTTGGGGTCCACTCAGTACAACACTAGATGAGACAGGCATCCTATAGGGGCCTTGCATGCAGAATTCTGTAGGTCCATATTCAGCATTTAAAGAAAAACACCAACTAATGCATGCAGGACAGAATTAGGCCCAATTTTGAATATAGTATGAAATATTAATAAAATATGTCACCAAAGCAGGGATCGTCAGTTTACTAAATTATAGAAAAGGGGTCCCTAAAGGAAAAAGTTTGGGAACAACTGCTATTGGCTGTGTGTCAAGTCAAGTCAAATTGTCTTTATATACTCCAATATCACAAATCACACATTTGCCTCAAGGGGCTTTATAGTCTGTACAGCATGTGTACATAACTGTGTGTGAGGTCGCTTTTTAAAGAAACCCCCAGTTGCATCAAATTTCAGTGCAGTGCAGTACTGGAGCAGAGGTGAGATATTGCGGCTTTCTAACACTCAACACTTCTTGTAACTTGTCAGTCAAACTCAGGAAGTCCTGAGAAAGAAATTAATTAGACAATGTTTAGAAATTGTGCACAGTGGCTGGGATAGCCACGATGTCTTCACATGCACTGAAACTTCAATGATACAAAATAAAAGGTTTTTGATGTGGTGACATTTCTTCCTTAAAAAAAAAAAGATCTCATAACCGCTGAAACACAGGCTGCAGATGTAATATATGATTTACAAAATTACTTTTTGGTGATTTCATTTATGTTTTATGACACTTTAGTTCATTTTACTGTCTTTGTGTTTTATATAAGTTTGTTTTTTCTCTTGTTTAAAATGTGTACTGTTTTTATTGGAAATAACTTTGTAACTTTGAAAGGTACTAAATAAAGTTCATTATTATAGATTACAATAAATACAAAAGCATATTAGCACACACACACACACACACACACACACACTAACCTTATTCGTAGTTATATAGTTGATACAGCTACCATTGAAGAGGAGCAGATACTTGCGCTCTGAGCTGTTGGTCACCACAGATGGACAGGAGATGTTCACTTTACTAAGCTTTGACACTGTAATAGTTTTCAGAACTGACAGACAGAAAGACAAGAAGCATATAGATGGGTTATCGACATACTAAAACAAACACAAAGAAAACAATCATAGCTGTGACTATTGGGTTTCCCACCTTAACTATATTATTTCTATTGCTATCTGCCACTGGCAGCTTTAATTAACACAATGTGCAACTATTTCTTACATTTGGTGTTCTTTGGTTTGAATTATATGGTGTACTGCAGTCCTAGATTTTGGCATGCAAGTACTTGTTGTTTTTGCCCATAATGGTATGTAAGAAAACCAAACAATTTCATTTACTTAACCTTAACCCAAATGAATCATAAAATAATTCTCATTCAATGACTGCAACATCGAAACCATGTTCCAGAAGGAAGCAAAACCGTTTTGTGTGTTTGTGCCTAAACAAACTAAAGTGCAGGGAAATAGCAATAAGCAAATTACATGGCAAAATTGGCCGACGCGGTCAAGAACCACGAGCCTTCAGATAATCCGACCAGAACAGTCAACTGTTTAGAAAGATTATCTACACCACTTTATTTGGCTGTGTAGCAGAAACTGTGCTCGCTTAAAATATCACTTACAGCCCCTTAATTGCACAAGAAAACTGTGTACATAAAGCTATGTTACACACAGTAAGTCAAACTCAATCATGGTAATCCCTAAACTGTGATACGTATTTACAATTGACAGTTTGGGTGCAGTTTTACCATTGGTTTCTCATCCAAATAAAATATCTGGCTAAACCTCCAGGTTTGTGTTTCTTGCCCTGTCAACACTCCTTTTTAGTGATTTTGTGGTGTTCCAGATCACAGCAATTATCCTCCCTGTTAAATTCTGTGAAAGAATATGAGCACAAAAATAAATTGTTTGGTTACATTAAACAGATCTCTAGCTGCCCCAAAGTAACAGTTTACACAAGATATAGTTTGTGGCGACAAGATACAGTTTGTTCTGATTGATTCGTGACTATGAGATACAGTTTGTTCCCACCCTTTTGATTAATTTGTGGCCATGATAACATTCATAAACACCTGGCACATACCTAGCTCTTTTTTATTTAGGGGCTAGCTTACAGTGTTGTCGAATGAGCTGCATGCGTCTTTAAGCACGGCCAGTAAACTTGGATTAAGACATACTGTAATTGCATGTTGATACACTACCTATGCATTCAATGTAAGCTTTATTATGGTAAAGGAAAAGGAAATTGATGCAATATTAAGGTTTAATAGTTTAGTCCTAAATTGTCAAGGTATAGTTGGTGCACACTGTACCTCACTGCATCCACATAAAAGAATATGTGGGTATGCAAAACATGCCTTGCATAATACTTGCGGCAGTATTACACACTGCCTTTCATGCTTCAGGAAAGGTCTGTTGGTCTGTTGTGCAGGCTACGGTATACACACTTATCTTATGCACAAATTAATGAAAATGTGGGAACGAACTGTATCTTGTGTGCATGCAATAGCAGTTTGAGCACTCAATGGGTTCCGTAGGGAAGAGAGGCTGAAGGCACATTCAGGTCTCCTTGATAGCCCTAATTTGCTTTCAGACCACATTCGGAGACATTTGTATACACCCCAAAATATGTTACTATTGTTAATATACCTTATCACCTTAATTTTGTTCTGCCAGTTTATTCTAATATTTTCTGATTGTCACTGACAGTTTACTGCAGATCTCAATGTAAAGCGAGGTAAAGAAAAACACTCACAGGAAAAAAATCAAATAGCTTAAAACTCCTTGTTCTTGACATCATGATCTCATTGTGAAAGTTGTGAAGTTAAGAATTCTTCTTCACAGCAGTTTCAATTTTAACAGTTTTAATTCTAAAGCAATTTCAACAATGTAGTGTTTGTTCTTACCCAAGCATCCCGTCACATTTCCATCAATCAAGCACATCACCATCAACAGGACTTCTGCTCTCATCGTGTCCTCCTGACTGGTTGCTATTAAACACCAGTGTTTGACAGGAGTCGATACCAAGGAAGGTTTTCTTTTTGCAATTGGATTGTCACTGTCTACTCTGCAAACAGGCTGGTGGACACACATATGGCATCTCTGTTCAATATTACATAGGAGTGAGTGAAGAGACAGAAATGTGTGACTTTTTCACTCAGACAGAGACACTTCCTGTGTAAACCTATGAAACCATACCAGAAACTATGTACCCACTACCCACACACACACACACACACACACAAACACAAACAAACACATGCACACACATATAAACACTTAGACAACATTTACACATACAAAAACCATAAAACCCTAAAACAGACAAGCATGACAATATGCTTATTGACAGGTCTGTGCATGCAAAACCCTAACCCTTGAATACATTGACACACAGACATGCAGAGTGGGTGAGGGGGATTACTAACCGCAATGTCAACCAACGTATGTGAAAGGATCATAGCTCTCACTTATTACAGAAAAAATTGACGACAGACGTTTCTCTTCACAGTTGCTGTCCCTTGTTGCTTTTAAAAAGTCATTTTGCAGACAGCATTAACTTGTATTTAACTGCTGCAGTTTGAAAAAAACAAAACATTTGGTATGGGAGGAACATTGAGACTGTCTCAAACAATGAGGGTGGTGTTTTTTATTCTTTCAAGATACATCAAATAAATCTTCTTAGGGCCTTGTCTGACTGACTGAAGAGAAAAAGACAATGTGACAGACAACCAATGTTGGTTAGTAACTGATTACATGTAATCTGGATTACGTAATCAGATTACAAAAAATAAGTAAATCAACCCATATTAAAAAATGTATACTTAGATTATACTTACATTGTCAAGGATTACTTAAAGACCCCCTCCAGACATACAGTTGAAACCAGACGTTTACATACACTGTATAAAAAGACACATCTCTTTTTTCTTTCTGTCTGACATTAAATCAGATTAAACCTTTCCTGTTTTAGGTCAATTAGGATTACCAAAATTGTTTCTATTTGCTAAATGCCAGAATAATTAGAGAGAGAATTTTTTAGACAATGTTTTTATT